GCAATACACGCCTACAAACAATACAATAAAACCTCCCCAAATATCGCGGGTACACCGCTACGCTACTCGAACCAGCACACGAGTCAATCCACATAACACAAAATTCCAAGAGAGGTGCAAATTTGAGATTCAACAAACTCTAGCTGCCTAGTCAGATCTAGTGAGGAGACAAATTTCAATCCAAATATATGGTCCAATGGTGTTCAAAGTCGAGAGGGAGAAGTTGATCCGATTAGGAACGTCGGCGAGAGGGGAACCGCCATCACCGACCCCATCATGGCCGAGAAAGGGACGCACGACAGGTGGCCGGCCGAGAAGATCGAGAGGGGCTACCTTCACCTCCTCTGTTACTTTACCAGTTTTTTCCTTCTCCGGGTAGAAGTTATAAAGAGGGAGTTTTCGAAAGAGAGAAAATAAGCATTTACAACCGCCTAGCTTTTAATATATCTTATATTAAGGGTGTGATTGGAAATGAATTTGATTGATAATTTTGTTAACCATAGTCAATTTTAAAAAAATATAGTATGCTTAGTTGTTAGTGGGAATATAAGTTTAAATTAAAATAATATTTAAAATAAAATAATTAAAATTGATTTGATGTAAAAGTAGGAGAGGTTATGAGAAGTGATAGTTAGTTAAAAATATGTGAGTGGATGGATAGTGAATTAAAGTTGATGGTGTAATGTATAAAAATATTGATTGGTATTATTCAATTGTATTGATAATGTTGATAATAGTAAAGTTAAGTTATAGTTGAGTTAAATTTAAGTTTTGATTGATTTTTTTTAGTAAATTTATATCCAATCTCACCCGTGTGTTTGTATATGAAAATACTCTATTCATACTCAAAATCTATGTCTACTTTAACTCAACTCTGCTATCCTCAATACTCAATATAATTAAATAATATCAATGAATCATTCTTACACATGACATTAACTTTAATTTAGGGTAAATTGCAGTTTTGATACCCAAACTAAAGGTCATTTTGAAATCAGTACCCGTTTTGAAACTTGTGGGAAATTAGTACCTCAACTTTTATTCTGTTAGCAACGTTAGTGGCCTTTAGATGTCCGTCAAATTCCCGTTTATTGTTAACGGTCGAGTACTAACGTTGCTAACAAAATGAAAGTTTGGGTACTGCTTTCAAAATGGTCATTACTTTGGGTATCAAAACTGTAATTTATCCTCTTTTTCTTATAAACAGTGGAGGTTGCGCTTTTTTGTTGAAAATAAATGGTATATATGACTTATATATATAGGTTTCATCAGACCCCAAAAAACAGACAAATTTCCCTCCATTTTGACCACTTCCGTTAAAACTAACGAAAATTTGACATGCATCTAACAGCCGGGTACTAACTTTGCTAACAGAATGAAAGTATGGGTACGGATTTCGCACAAGTTGCAAATTGGGTACTGATTTCAAAATGGTCTTTACTTTGGGTATCAAAACTGCAATTTACCCTTTAATTTACTATTCATCTAGTCACATAATTTTAACTAATCATCACTTCACACAATCTCTCTCCTACATTTACATCATATCAACTTTCATTGTTTTATTTTGAATATTATTTTAATATAAAATCAAAACTCTATTAATAACTAACTATATCACTTTTTTCAAAATTAATTACAGTTAATAAAAAAAACTCATTTTAAGCGGATATATTTGTATACAAACACGCCCTTAAACCACCCATCCAATCCACACAGCACATTGTCAATAAGGGCTTTTTCCGTATGAGGGGATGCGCCCCCTTTTCTTCTCTCCTCAATCGGAAAAACTAGTCGTCATCTTCAATTTCGTCTCCCCTTCTTCGCCTTCAGGCTCGCCGCTGCGCCGCTGGAATTGGAGCTAGTCGATTCGGGGCTGAGGACATTTTTTGCCTCCTCCGAGGCTTGTGGGCAATTGGGATGGAGAGATCTCGCCCCCCGCCGGGTCCGAGTTGCTTCGCTACCTAGCCATCCCCCGGCCAAGGACAAGACCGCCGGCTGCCAGAGTTCAGGCCCAAGCCTCGAGGAGATACCAACCATCGTTCTGCCCGGAGTTTTGTTGTTCAGGTTTGGGTCATTTGGTGTGGCTTGCCGTCCGTTTGATCCCTCTTTCGAGCACTCCGGCAAGGCGAGTTGGTGTTCTTTCGGTGGCTCCCGCTCCTCCCCCTCTCCATCCGTTGGATCTCTTTGCTAGTGGATGTGGACTGTATGTGGTCTCGGGTGGCTGAGCATTGAGTCTGCTAGGTGTAGGGTAGGTCCTAATTTATTTGTACATTAGGTGTATGTTTTCTTTTCTTCTTTATGCTTTTTGTGTGTCAACCCAGCTTGTCTGGTTCATCTCTTTTATGGAGTTTTCTTTTCCTTTGTGGAATTTCGTGTTAGGTTTGCGGTTACCTCCTTGTTGGAGTTGTACCTCTTAGATTCCTCCGGAATTTCAAGAGAGCAGGTCGAGTTATCTGGTTCCTTGGTTCCTTGGTATCAGTTGACATCGCCTCTGTACTATTTTAGAATTTTTCTAGTTATATATATTTATTTGTCNGCATTATGTGGGACACCTTATTGCCAAATGGAATAACACATAGATTAAATTAAAAAAAAAAAACAAAAAATTTGTTGTGCCAAAATTGAAATAAGCCAAAACTTAAAATAAAAAATTAAAGAAAAAAAAATTAGATCGAAGTGAAAGAGATATGGGATCGATCCCTTCCACCATTCCTCCATCCCCGTCCTTCCATCAAATATGCCACCCAATAGATCCCTCTTTAATTTGCTTTCTCACTTGAAAATCAACTCCCCCTTGCTTCTTTACAAGAGGAATTTTTTGTTTTTCTTTTTTAGTTTCTTTAACACTATTTTTACTTTTTTTTGGACAAACAGATTTTTTTTTCCTTTTTTGGTGTGAGGAGGACGCTTGCTGCGTGGTGTTAACTGGAGATGGGTTGCATAATATATGTGCAATTCTTAATTCTTGGTTCTTCTGATTTTGTGCGTCTTGAGAAAAGGTCCAAGCTTCACTGTATCTTGTCACTTGTACTTGCCGGAAAAAATAGGTTGTCGGATAAAATCACCGGTTTCAGAGATGATGGATGTCGTCTGGTGCGCGGCTGCCCAAGGAGTCCGGAGGTATCCTTGGATTTCGGTGGGTCGCCGTGAATTGCCGGAAATTTGAAGAAGAAGACCGAATTTTGACCGGATTATTCTAGATCTAAAAATTTTGACCAGGGCAATTGACGGCTTTATCGGTAGAATTTTCGCAAAAAAAATTAGGAGGTGAATAAGAATGAGAAGAGCTTCAAGTCGATGTAGAAATTTTTCCGATCGGAGGTGGCCGGAAAATGGCAGCCGATAAACGGCGACCGGAGCGTGGCGGCGGAAGGCGGCTGCTCAGTTTTTGAAAATTTTAAAATTACAAGGGCTGGTGTTTTAAAATTTAATGAATTTTATGGACTAATTTGCAATTTCAAAAGTTGTAGGTAATTCCAACTAAGATAAAATACACATTATGTCAATATTTAATCCTGCCACATAACTACAATCACGCCATGTCAATGCCACGTCACATTTTTATCCAATGTACGGATAAAAAAGGACCAGAATTGATTAAATTACCAAATTATAAGACCTACTTTGAAAGTGGTCAATATAGGGGTGGTTTTTTGGACTGTGGCCAAATTATAAGACCAATTTTGAAATTATGCCCGGCACATTATATACCACCAAAAGTAGAAACAAAACGGTGCAATGAAATCAGTACCCAAATAACATCCTCCACACAAACCACTTCCCAAAAAATATGGACTGGATTTGGACCCAAATAATACTTTTCTTAGCCTATCTCCTCCTCCGCAAGCTCCTCCGCAAGCTCCTCCGCGTCGGCCCGAATAACTTTCCTCCAGGCCCGATACCACTCCCCATCTTAGGCCACTTCCACCTTCTCGGGAAAAACCCTCACCACGATCTATGCCGTCTGGCCCGCAAATACGGCCCGATCATGGGCCTGCGCTTCGGATTCTCCCTAACTGTGGTCGTCTCGTCCCCAGCCTGGGCCGAGCGCGTCCTCAAGGCCCACGACCTCGTTTTCGCTAGCCGGCCCATTAACAACGCCTCCAAGCACATGGGCTACGGTCAGAGGAACTTGGTTTTCGCGCCCTACGGCCCGTACTGGCGCGACATACGAAAGCTCTGCACCCTAGAGCTGCTGAGCAACCTCAGAATTAGCCGGGCCCAGGGAATGAGGCGGGCCGAGCTCGGGCTTCTCGTGGGCTCTCTCAAACGGGCCGCGGAGGGTCGGGAAATTGTGGATCTGAGCGCCAGGGTCTCGGGCCTGAGCGCGGACATGAACTGCCTCTTGATTTTAGGGAGAAAATATGAAGACAGGGAGTTGGACGAGAAAGGGTTCAAAGCTTTGTTTATGGAGACGATGGAACTTGCGGCCAGGTTTAATCTAGCCGATTATTTTCCTTACCTTGATGCGCTTGACCTTCAGGGGATGGGGCGAAGAATGAAGGCATTGAGTAAGATTTATGATGGGTTTTTGGAGGAAATAATTGAGCAGCATTTAGAGAAGAATAATAATAAGGGAGAGGATTTTGTGGATACAATGCTGAGTATAATGGAGTCCGGTGAAGCTGGGTTTGAATTCGATCGGCGACATATCAAAGCCGTGCTTCTGGTAAATTTACATCACAACTTGTGTGTGTGTGTGTGTGTTTTGTTCACAATTATTATTATTGTTGTTTTTGTCTGTTGTTATCAAGGTAAATTAAATATCCAGATGGACCACTTCATCTACAAGTAGAAAGGATTTTAATCTCATTTTTAAATGAAGATTAAAAGTTGGAAAGTCAATTAGTTTGGCTAACTGATATTAGGTGCAAATTGGGGCATTAATTAAATAAGCATATAGTACAGATTGGATCGCTCAAGACAAAATATTGATAAACAAGTTGGAAGTTGTTAGGTATAGTCAAATTACTATGTATAATCATTAGAATACATGTGTTGGGAGCCATAGGTTCATTTGGAGTAAGTTCTAGTATAACACCCAAACTTTTGAAATAATGTTAGGTTCATTTGGAGTAAGTTCTAGTATAAATTTAAATTATTTTGATGATAATTAAAAAATTAATAGATTTAAAAGATAAATTGTTTTAAAAAATTATTTTGTCTTGTTTTTTTTTTTTTTCTAAGATTGACTATTGATGATACTTGGTAATATGAAATTATGTACGTCACGTGAATTCATTATCAAACTTAAGTCATTTTCTTTAGCATATGACATATAAAAAATTATGGAAGAAGTTACGTTTTTTCTTGATTGATTTAGTGTATAGATAGATAATATTAACTAACTAACATAGGCGTTGATTTGGAATTTAAAAACATTATATCTCGAAAAAAAATTGAAAGAAGAAGTTGAGAACTTCTTATTTGATTTAGTATATAGATCAATAAATAATAATTGACTAACACTGACGTCGATTTGGGATTTAAAGAAATGTAGTAAATCCTCGACTGAAAGAGAATATAAATATCAAACGAAAAGTTAAGATCAGTGTTTTAATTGGTCCTTACATTGCGTAGAGCGTGAGCTATTTGAGCATGAATTTTTTTTTAATAAAAGGATTACGTATATTTTTATATTATAAAAATAAACATTTTAGTTAAAGAAAATGATTTATTATTATCCCCCTTTTAATATAATTTCAAAACGTGCTGAGCCTAAATGGCTGGCTCGCACGCTTCGGAAGCTTATTTGGCAACATTACATGCTTCGACTTTTGGTTCGGATAAAAATTAATACAATTATATTCCAAAATAAATAGGACTCCAACTCCAAATAGGATTTTTATTCTTATCTCTTCCAAATAGGATTCTTATTCTTATCATAGTTTATTTTAATTCCTTCAAAAATTTTTTTTTAATCACTTATTCTTATCCAAAATTCACGTGTATGAGTATGAGTTAAGTGATGTTTTTTCCTTAAAACTAATGTCTTGTACAATATGTTACTGGTGGTTCGGCTGTAAATCTACCAAGATATCCTAGTGTAGCATTAAGATTGTTGGAAACCATCATAAGTACTGAAGCATTCATTTTGGATTCACAAACATGTGTAAATATTTGTATTTTAATTGTTATTCGGTTAACTATCTAATTTAATTTGTTGTTATTTAGCTTTCTGATTTTTGTTATTATTAATTATTGTATGTGACTATTTACTTATAATTTTCAACTATGATTACATTTTTAATATATTATTTTGACATTGTTTTTTTATAAGACTTAGTCTTCCTATTTTTTAAATGATTAGGGTTTAATTAAATTAAATGCGTGAGTTAAAACTAAAATTAGGTAAAGTTTAGCTAGGAGAATACATGAGACATTCATAGTATAAAGGATAAATTAAAACTCACAAATCGTTTATGAACCTTTCAATAATAGTAGGATCTATACTATCACTACCTGTTTAAATATAAAAAAAAAAATCAAACTTGAAAGGTTGTTGCATATTTCTTATTCTTATTATGCCGTGTATAATAAATTTGAAATGCCGTGTATTTTGCTTAATCCGAAATCGGTGTGACAAAGTTCTCTACATTATTTAAATCACCATCCCCCTTCATTCTCATAGCCCTTTCATCTCATTATTCATCTTACAAAAATTGAATTTACCATGACAACTGTTTTTAACAAAATTGAGCGTGTATGGTTCAAACATGACAAGAACCAACCTGAAAATCGTGTTGCAATGGAGATTTGTGTCTAGACGAAAAGGTACACGGTGGTTTCAATTCAGCACCTTATCCTTCGTATGTCCCTTTTGATTATTATCATATGAGCTATAGGTATTATAATTCGAGTTATTTTATTACATCAATTATTGTTAGTATATATATATATATATATATATATAAATTATTATTATTGCCTCTCCTTGTATTGTAATTTGTTTGTGTTGGTTCTGGCCATGTCAACAATGCATTTTATCTTCTGCGTTATGTTTAAGAAATTCTAGAATATCCTTAATTTGGTATGACTGGTTATGCTGATAGAGTTAGATTTGTTTTTCCCTGTAGATATACAAGATGATCAAATATAGTCTTTTGTTTTGCATTTATCTCAACAATCAATTTCCTTTTCACTAATCCAACAAACCTAAAAAAAATATTTAAACACAACTACCCATGTAAATACATGGGTGTTGAATTATGAAGCATATGTAAAAAATATTAATTTTTTAAACTAAAATAATTTAATTTTGTATAAAACATTACTTTGGGTTTTAATTAATTGTCAAATTATATAGAGCCTGAATATTTTTGTTTTCCAATTTTTGCACTTTTATACGACAATATGTGTTTTTTCTATTATTTATTGTTTTATATTTTTTTTCCAAACAACTCGTGTAGTACACGGGTGTCGTACTAGTTAAATATTAAATCCAAATAATAATACTGAGACATTAATTTTTACAAACATTAAATACTAATATCTTAATATGACTCTTAAACCAAAAAATTCATTAAATGATTTAATTTAATATATTAAAATATAATAACATATATCAATAATTTAAATTTTGATGCTTTTAGTTGAAATCATTTTTCTTTCCACAAACATGTGTCTAAACAATAGAAAATAACATTTTTTTTTAAAAAAAATATATCGTTTGTTACTGTAGCGTTAATAGCCTGCCATGTCAGTATTTTGCATAAGTATTTAAGGAAAAACGCGAAATTATAAACACTTCATCGCGTTTTTGAGCGAATTGCGCTATTGCGCACTACATAGCTCTATATGGTGCTATCTAAAACATTAGGTAAGATTCATACCGTGTATCTTATCGTGACACAATTTTAAACAACCTATCCGTCTAATAAAATTTGCCCTTTCATTTTTTTTGTTGTTTTCTATGAGAAATAAATTGATAATGCATAGATCTCATGCAATCCACATATCTATAATATAAGTAATAAAATTAAATATTTTTTTATTTATCAAATTATTTTTCTTTGTAGTAACATATTTATACAAATTTTTAATAATTTATGTATAGTATGTGATAAATAATTATACAATGTATTTATTTATAAATATTTTAATTTATCTTGTCAGTAAAGTAATTGATATACTGGTTCGACAAACAACATTTTAGTTTTTTATTTAATGTCGTATGCTTGAAAATAGTTGTTTACACTTATTTTGTATTTATTTTCCAACATATCTTTTTCACAACCTGTTAGTTTCATTCACCTTATCATTTTTTATGTGAGTACATAATATCTAATGTGCTTTTTTTTTTAATTATTTTAAAAATTCATATTTTCACATTATGAAATATGAAATTATAAATTAATTTTTTTTTTTTTGGTACAAATTTTTTCAATTGAATAAAATGCATGTCATGAACATTATGATTTATTTTTCGAGTCAATATGCATAGTAATTTGACAGACTTTCCACTAGTTTATCCTTTTAAATTCATATGTTTGAAGCATAAAAGTTTTATTTATTCTAATAAAAAATGGAAAAAAAATAAAATATATAAGAAATATGTAAGAAAAATTAAATTTTTATGATTTTTTGTGATTCTTTTACTTCATATATATTATTATTTATTTTATGAGAATTTTTTAGGAAATTCATTGTTTTTAAATTGCTTTTGATCATGATTATAGTTTATTTTATGTAGAATAAATACATATTTATATTTTATATGTAAATGTTGCTGTCAACTCATAAATCGTTGAAAGAATATTACTTTGCTAAACTATGTATAAAATATATGGGTCACGCATAAAACTTTTTCTTATGTTTTTATTTAAAAGAAAAAAAGAAAAATATTAAATACTGAAATAAAAAACTGAAAAAAAAAAATAGAAATAGGATCTGTGGTAGGCTAATTAGACATATAGATTGAGAAAACTATCAATTCATAATCTATAAATTTGATATTCATGTGGACTTTTAAGAAAAATAATTTTTTATTTTTTATTATATGATCTTAACAAATAAAATCATTTGTATTATTTCATAAATCAATTCGTAGTATCCAAATATTTTGGATTACATGAACCGATATGATGTCGTTTTGAAAAAGAAAATTGTATGTTCAGGATTTACTTATAGCAGGAATGGACACTTCATCAGCAGCGATAGAATGGACACTCTCAGAACTCATTAGGCACCCACAAATCACAAAAAAGCTCAAGAAAGAGTTAGAATCTGTGGTGGGCCCGAACCATATGGTCGAAGAACACCATCTCAACAACCTCCATTACTTAGATTCTGTAATCAAGGAAGCCCAAAGGCTCCACCCAGTCGCACCATTGTTAATTCCCCACGAGTCCACACAAGATTGCACAATTGAAGGTTTCCACATACCAAAACAATCGAGATTGTTAGTCAATGTGTGGGCAATCGGCAGAGATCCAGATGTTTGGCCCGACCCGGAAAAATTTTCGCCCGAGAGGTTTATTGGTAGTGAGATAGACTTGAGGGGACATGATTTTGAGCTGTTGCCGTTTGGGTCGGGCCGGAGGAGTTGTCCCGGGCTGCAACTCGGGCTCACCGTGGTGAAATTGATAGTGGCGCAGTTGATGCATTGCTTTGATTGGGAGCTTCCGAATGGTATGTCGGCTTGTGATTTGGATATGTCGGAGCACTTTGGTTTGGTGACCGCTCGAGAAAAGCATCTAATGGCTATTCCAACCTATCGCCTACGTGAGTAATCGAATTTAGAAACGAAAATGAAAAATAAAAGTTCATTGAAATTGTAATAATTGAACACTTGTTATTGGTGACATGTTCAGTACATTGGTTTATATTTGCCATGAGGTGTTTGGTGGATAAGATATTTGCAATGAATTTCTTTTAGATTCTCTCTCTGGCCCAGCTTAGTTCATCTATTCTTTATTTATTTTTATTCTTTTTCCTCAATTAAGATATGCTTAATGTTGAATATCTAGCAATTTAAAAAAAGAAAAACACTAACTAGGTTCCGAAGTTAAAAGAGAAGGCAAATTTTGATTTAGTTTTGCTTATTGAGTCATTTATACTTATTCACAAATAGTGTATTGACATGTGTCCTACAATAAATACACTTTGGTCATGTGTCAATACATTAATTGATGGATGGCTCCAGAAGAAAACCATCTGATGACTCCATAGAATTTCTGCATTTTGATTATGGGCCACAATGAAAATACAATACAAACAATCAAATTTGTGTAAATTTGACAAAAATTATTGGTAAGTGAACACAACAGACCAACTGTTTAACTCAAAAAATTAGGAAGAGCGT